AAAACTCGACGCAAGAATTACCACAATGTACGACGTGATGGTTTCTCTAATATCATAGCCCATTCCATAAAGTAAGTGAGTGTCCTGATGTCCGAAGCAATTTCTGTACTTCTAGCCTTTAGCATTACTTGAAGCAGTTTTTTGTCGGAATTATTCATCAAGGCTACAAGAAGTTGCATTTGTATTTTTTCCAACCCAACTTCGCTAGTACTAGCATACAACATTACCAAAGTCATGTCATCCATTGATTCACAAGCTTGAATGTGAGTGATTGGCTGCAATTATCAAATGAGATATCAGGCTAAGAGGTTCGCGAGACGGAACGCAATTTTTCGATAGCAAATGAATTCTCGTCCGGTTCTAAAGATTGATTCATAGTATTAGGTTTGCCGTTTAGACAAGCTGTAAGGAAACTGAAACCAATTATCATTAATACTCACATTCCTTCGTAAAAAAATTAGCTGTGCTGATTATATTCATTATTTTCATGGTCACCTCTAAACATATAAAACATATGAAAACATATCAAAGCCGCATGTCGCTTATTACGACATAAACATATCTCCACACGTATTTAATAGATTTGCGTAATCTTTTTTTTGTCTTGTATGCCAGATTAGTTTCTACGTATTTTTGACGTTTACCGAGTTGGAACAAAATCGTTCTATAAAGTACTTCGCAATAAACGCGTGTGATATTTTCAGCAACATTATATCGCACGATCGTTTGCATTTTGTGGTAGTGATCACACAATAATTTGTTTAAGTTCATATAAACACATTTTGATGGTGCAGAAGAACATTATAAAAAAACAATCCCGAAATTTGGTTAGTAAAGTGTCGAGATACGAATTTTTGAAAATTTTTGGTCGAAATTGCGAAATATCACAAGGTAAAAGATTTGGTGTTTGGAAAATTTGCTGGAGACAGTTGATTGGACTAAAATATTACAGGTAATCAGGGTTTGTCATACATTATACGCAAGGAAATTGTCAAAACATCTTCTCATTCCTGTCCCAAGCTAGGAGCGGTCTGATACTTATGCTCGCTACTGTATATTTCAACTTAGAAAAATCAAATTATAAAATCATTCCAGCATTAATATCGAAAAATTTATCCTATAAAAAAAGCAAACGACAAATAATTCAAAAACGCTTTCACTATTTAATTCTTTTGCGGGTTATTGATCGGACTTATCCTTGATCTCTCGCTTCATTATAAAACGTATAATCAGCTTAATAATGTGAACGAAAAGCTTGATATAACAGTTCAAGCGGTTAAATCAAAAATGATCAAAGTAAAATCTAAAAGTAAACGTTTATTGAACAACATTATTCGTTCAATATTGAAAATGGGGAAAATATTTTAAACCTTCATTCGATACAAAATCTGAGCTGGAATCTGATTTTTCATTCAACGAGTGGCCACTCAAATCCGCGACTTACGAAGGAAAGGCGTTGCTGCCTCTACACCAAAGAACTTTTACCGAAGAAAACCATCCATGGAAACTATTGTCGAAACCGTAAAGGAATGGGCTGATAAAGAAAAATAGAAGGGAAACGAAGATGACAATAGCATTAATTATAATGTATCAGTATAGCATAGATTTCGACCAAAGTATAGGGGTACTCATGGCTTTGCAAATGTAACGAGTACCAATTATTGTAAATATCCTGCTTGTGTTACTATTACTTAATCTTTTACCAAATCTTTAATAAAAACAAAACTCGCAAACTGTCCCAACTTAATTAAACATGGTCTCTCATCCATACTGACTGCGAATCACAAGAATAACGTTTGCTGATGGAGATTGCTCTAAGAAGTTTTATTTTTTGCATACAATTGTGGTGATTTTATAGTTACTAGTGCAAATTCTGCGCATCAATTATCATTGGTCACTCTGCATACAGGGAATAACAGTTACATTTAGAAAGTTCCTAATTATACGTCATTGATTTCAGCGTTAGTATATTAGATCACATCGCGCAGCACATCTTTCTATTGTAAAACCGCGCAAAAAAATTTTCACCTTACCACGCTATGACCACCAACGCGTACAAGGAAGTGAAGGGGAAGTTGGATGGACTGGAGGACCTGAGGAGTGGAACGGCACAGCCTAGGTGGAATGGCGAGCAGGCGAACTTGGAGAGGAAGGAAAGGAATTGGAAAACGAGAAGAAGTTATGTCTGGATCAAGTTATCAAGCTGCAAGACAGACTATCCTCTGTTGCAACTACTCGAGCAGGTAACAACTTCGTGACTCGGCGTTGGGGCGTGGAGTAAAGCTGGAGTAGAGTGTGGCATTGTGCAAAACCGTTTCGAAAATTAGCATCACGTATGCAGAGAAACGTACGCGCATCGATCGTTCTCGTGAAATTTTCCCGCGGTTGGAGATGAGATCAACACCGAATTGGACTCTGCTTCCCCGATGAAAACAATGCATATGATCTTGCCACTGTGATCGGTACACCACTTGTGCTATCTGCGGACAATAGTCATGGGGAGAGCATGCTTCATTATTCAATTGATCAGCTCATTCGTTCACCTTAATGAATCGAACATCAGTTGTGGTCGCTGCTAGTTTTGCTTTATGAATAACCGCTTGTTTAGAATTGCGTTAACCATACCAGTCTCCTGGCAATTTGTTTTGTATCAAGATAAAACTAGATACTAATGATAAACAACCCCTTGCAGAGCTGGTTAGTCGATTAGGGTCTGAGAAAATAGATCCGAAAGGCGCATCAATCTTTCTTCCACAACTCAAAAGATTCAAAAATTATGTTCTTACGAATCTGGAAAAAGCCCGCACATCGCAGGCTAGAGTAGAGTTGCTCTATCAGGAATTTTTATGTCGTCCGCATATTTTTATATGGGAATCTTCCCGATTTTTTGCTATTCACTACGGAATTATTTGATTGGTCAAATATTCGATGTTGGAATCACATGCTTCCGAAGAATAGCAATTATGGAATGGGACGGTGTTCTTACTTGCAAAGGCATGACATTCTTACTTGAAAGTAAACACAAGATGACGGAAGTGAGTATAAAATAATTATGAATTTATCAAACAGTCTGACTTACTGATAAATGTGATACTCCTAGGACCATCTAAAGAAAATTGTTAAACGATTGACTGAATTTCAAGAAAAAGTTAATGTGAATGAGAAGAAGTGTGCGCAAATTCAAACAGTTGGAGTAATTCACGCTGGTACGTTCTCCCTGTGTCTGCGATCAGTCAATAGTTTTTCTAGCCAATATAATTAATAGTCTGATGATTATGATGGTCTGCCTGGACAACCCGAAGGGCTATTTTGTATCGGGTGACGAGTTGTGAAACTCATGTATTCTGCGGCGTTCTTGTATAACTTAGATTTCGAACACCAACTTGATCACTTGATCATATGTACAGTATATAGTGATAATTCGCGAGTAGACGTCTGGGAGGGAATTGAGTACTAGAGTGATGAATTCGAATGGTGATATAAAATTCATTATATAAACGACCTTTCTCCCAGGCGGAAAAAGTAAGTTGGTTACTGCTGA